TAAGGAAATAAAGATGAGAGAAACTGGGAGTCCTTTTTCATAAGGTTTCAGTCCTCTCTTTTTAAATTCTTAATATTTTAAATCGAGAAATTTAAACTTTGTAAGGAAGGGCTCCCTGTACCAAAACAAGGTACTTGTTTTTCTGCAGAGAACTTGGTTGTGTACAGGTGCTACATGCGGAAGTAAAGATGGGAAAGCAATAAAGACACGCACAGATTAATAAACCACACACAATCACAACTACCAAGCCAATAAAAAGGTAGAGCAGCCAGGAAGTTAACCAAGACCAGTCCCACGGAGAATTGTTCCAATCTTCAACATACCCTTCTCTATCTTTGCGGAGATCCGCCACAAGTTGAGCGATCTGTTTATGGTCAGTTAGGAGACCTTTTGTCTGGTCATGGAACATGCAACATGACTGATTAATATACACGCAAACACCACCCTGACTATTCAAGATCATATCCAGGGCCATCCTATTCTGGAGGACCACTTCCTTAAGGGGGATGATTTCATCTTGCAAGCGTTCCTCCAGATTCAATGTAATATTCTCTAATTTTTCCAAGGCCGTAGAAGTGTTGTAAACAAAGGAGGCAAGTTTATGTATGTCTTTGTAATTTTGAGCAACTTCTATAGCAGGGAAGAGACTCCTGCCAGTTAAGGTCCCTGTAGACCATTCTAGGTGTTCTGCTCTCCTTTTCCGGTGGAAATTATGCCTAGTAGAGTATCGAATGGCTTCTACTGGCACCATATGAATGCCCCCGGGCCATAACCATCCTATTGTGCAAGTCCCTGACCAGGCAGGTGGCATGACCTTAAATCCCTCATTGCCACACAACCACCAGACTCCTGAACCTAAACGGATCAGTCGTTCAGATGTTAAGACCTGTAAAATAATCTCGAGAGTAGGAAGAAAGGTGCCCGACTTAAAGGAGTACTGGGGAAAAAGGTTTTCCAGCCATTGAGTAAAAGAACCATCAAAAATAGGAACTGACTTGTTAAACAGCGTCCAACCAGTAATATCCCATGTAAACGTATGTACACACCCCTTCCAGTCTCCCACAAAATCATTTCCCCCCCTCTTCTGAAAACAAAAGGGGGCATTGGGAATGGGGTGGGGAAACTGGAAAGGCTTAAGATCCTTATAGCCTGAGTTAAAAATCTGAACTGAGTGATTATACCATCTATCCAAGCCTAGAGGTATCGGCAGGACAACTAACCCTTGCTGGCCATGAGTAGGGAAATAACTGCAAATCCAGCAGGTAGGAGGGTTGGTTTCATTAATAACTAAATTATGAAGTTGTATCAAAGTATTGTGTGTCCAGTCAGCCATTACTACTTTAACAAGTAAGAAATGAAATGACAAACAGAGAAGAAAGAGAGACATGCTGATTTTCAAAATACCTCCCCTTCTGTTTTCTATTCCATCCAAGGGATCCTTCGCAACTCATCAGGGCAAGGAGCTTCCTTACAAAATATGTTCAGTCACAACACTAGTGCCATATCAAGGTGCCACTGCAACATGAAAATCCACACTTTGAACCATTATCACCCATGAACTTATTCAGTGTCCTTAGTGTCCCTTGGAGAAAACCAGCTTGAAGCCGTCCAGTCCTTTAAACTTCCACTGGTCTTTTGGCTTCCGCTGGTGATTTTGTGATGGGACAATGCTGTCATCCGGTGGAGAGGCAGCTTTTGCCGGCTGGTAATGCACCCATGCTTGAATTCCCTCAACCTTCAGGCTGGATGGGGTCGTTAAGAGCACCTGAAGTGGCCCTTTCCACTTTTCGGACAGACGGTCAGACCCTTTGGTCCACGCCTTTACATATACCCAATCCCCGGGCTGAAATGGATGCAGAGGCTCAGATAAGGACTGGAGTCGTTTCTCCAAGAGCACCCGTTTATTTTCCTGCAACAAAACAGAGATCCCCATTAAATACCCCTTCAAATCAG